CATGACTGTCTGGGTTTTAAAAGTTCACAAGAGTGTTTTCCAATTTAGATAAGGCAAAGTAAAATATATCAACTTAAACTCATTATGCCTATATAAGTTTAGCCTTTTACAAACTCACTGAAAGTGGTGTTCACAAACAAAATGTTTCGCAATAAGTGAAAGCTAGCATAAACAAGTTTGGAAAATTTACTTCACTTAATCATGTCTTTGTTGCGAGGCAACTGAAAATGAAAATTCTTTCCGCACTGACTCATGGAGGTTGCACGCCGACCGTACTACAAAAACAACAAATTGATTTCAATTCCTTTTGTTTTCGAGTACAGTACTCTCCATTGGACATGTGTACGATCAACCTTGTATCATTATCATGATGCAATTCATACGAAACAAATTAACAAAAAAGTTTTAGTTTACTTATATTTTTCTCTCGTCTGGCAGAACAAAACAGGTGAAACTTTATGACATTATGAAAGTCTATCAACCACTCCCCCCCCCCCCCCTCTAAAAAAAAAAATAAGGAAAGAAGAATCTCAAGCCAAAACTTGATTCATAATTAGAATCATGTAAAAAAAAACCATTATCAGGCAATCCCAAGACACACGACGATGACTGGAATAGAGGATGCAAACATTAGTTTTATTTACTTTCCCAGTTGCTACAGATCATCTATCACCATGGCAACAATGATTTGTTTGAGAGTCGTGCACCTGTTTGAATCGACGTGATAGAATTTTCATCGTGTTCGTCTAAAACAAGAGTTCAAAACCAAATAATAGGATGAAGAAAAGATTTGTCAAAGTTGGGTCGAAATTTCAACATGAGGTCAAAGGTGAAAACACAAAAATAAATCGCAAATGATTTATTGATATTATGACAGGTAAATCCCGAAGATGAATTGCCTTGATAACTGACAAAACCAAACATAATATGTCTTCTCGTCGCATTTTTTTTAATGAGAAAAATATTTGCCATCATATCGAGTCATCTGCAATTTATGACTTTCTTCTATTACTAATTGCCTTTGTTCTTTTGATGAAACTGCAAATAAGATAAACGATTAACGAATTCGAAGTTAAATATTTTGCCGGAGCATAAATTCGCACAGAATAGCTCAGAAGCTAAAATAATACTAAATATTCTTATCTTTGGTATCTATTATTTAAAAACTAAATTACAACCGTTCCAATTATATAGTATCAATTATTAATAATAATAATAATAATCCGTTTTTTATATAGCGCTCAATACACCGATCCAACCTTCTCATTAAAAGAAGGAGTTTTTTCACCTAAAATGGCAGGTTTTTGGATAATCAGTGGTTAACTTTTCGTTACCTAATGCATGGTCTGGTCATTGGAAGACGAAACAATATTCATTTTTAATGGGCCTTTTTCGAAAAATATACACATTTATTTATTTATCTATTTATTCATGTTTTATTTATTACAATTGATAAAACAGTGGAGGGTTATTAGTCCGATTCAGTTAAAAGAAAATGCTTTGCAACGGGGCCCTCCACATGATACAAACAATAACATAAAACATAAAAACAAAACATAAATTGAAACATCGATATTACTCTATATATAAAAACATTTATATATTTGAATAAACTATATATATATACATCAGGCGCACGTGGGATGCACGGCGAGACCCCCCCCCCCCCCCAGTAGGCCATATTCTCGTGTGTTTTTTGTTTGTTGTTACTGTTACATTGTTTCTTGAAATTGTTTAGTGACTTGCAATTTTTGAACAGACAATGGCAACTTATTAAATAAAGAATTTCCGGTGAATGAAAAGGAATCGCTAAATAAAGAAATATGTATTTCGTCAAAGGAATGGAATGCGACCACCTGCCTTCATCGTGTATCTGACATTCTAGATCCTTTCTTCAGATCAACATGTCATGATATTCGGCCTAATTCGATTGTATCGAGAGTAGGACAAGGCTGGTGGGGAATCGAGCTTCGTGAGGAATAGTGCGGTATGGTATGTAATCCCGTTGGATTTTTTTTGCAGTTTTGGCTTCAAAAGGGTCCCAATTGGCCAAAAATGATGGGGTTCAAAGTTTCAGACCCCTCCTTCATTTCCTGGGGGGGGGGGGGTCCATAATGGGTGCCAAAATGGCATATATACCGCGCAATAGGGAAATTTGGTGTCTTCGGGAAAATTTGAACCCCATCAATTTCTGATAGCTTGGACCCAATGAATCCAAAAATGCAAAAATGCAAAATGCAAAAAAAAAAAAAAAAATCAACTTTGGCACAAAAATCCTACGGGAGCTGTTTCAGTGACATACCGTACCACACTAGAAGGTTTCACGGCTAGCAGTTCATGGTCTATGCCTGTGGTACTATAGAAGATGGTTGTAAGGAGGAGGAAAAGAGTAATATAAAGGAATAGGGACACAATGAGAAGCAGATAATTAGAAAGATACTCAAAAGAGACACGAATTCAGAGAAATTATCAAAAGGAAGGGTGAGTAGAGAGAAGGTATGTTCATCCTAGCATGTCCCAGATGTCTATAGGTTGGTAGGACTCCATATGAAACCTCGAAACAATAGTCTACCCCTAGCTGAGCTTACAGTGCAAGGCTGAAACAGAATTACCTCACTCAGCGTGACGAATAGACTAACACAAGTTTGTGGGAATTTTATTTGGAGTCTAGTTGGGCCATCGATCTGGGCTACGCCGATGAGGAGCTTGTTACCTTATTATAGATCGAAAAGAAAGAGATGGGAAAGACGATGAAGGAGGACGGGTATACTAAGGAGAAAGGGGAAAGGAGAGTATTTGACAAGAAACAGAGGGAGGAGGGTATAATAGATGATGGTGGGAGAAGGAAAAGGGACAAACTGCAGAAAACAGGGGGGGGGGGGGAGATACAAACTAGAGATGGGACTTTAGGAGGAGGAGACAAAGTATTCCTGACGAGGAGAGGAAGAGAAAATCAAAGATGGAACATGAGAGGATAAGAATGAAGGATGCGGAAGGAAGAACATTAGATTGGAGTTGAGAGAAAGAACGAGGGCGAGCAAAAGCGCAAGTTGTGTGGGTTTGAGATACATATTTTTTATCCAGATAACTTGTCGACATTTTCCCCCTACGATCAGCCCCTTTAAAATGGACTAGCGATGCCTCTAATGGTAGAGAAGAGATCAGAGGTATACACACAAGCAAAAATCAAGTATACAATAGGAGCAGCAATTCATTTGAAGTGGTTTGCCGATTATATCGCTTCTTACAACAAGGCAACATATAGAGAACATACGTGCTCTAATTTTCTAATCAGTTTAAGCATCTCACGTACATTATACAGTTCTTGTTTGTCGACATCCATACTGACGATCGACCCCCCCCCCTATAAAAACCAATCAATCGTGCTCCTGGTAACGAAAATAGCAAGTAACCTAATCAAATATCGTAAGAAGCACGTATATACCAGGACCCATGTGTGATCGTGTATATTGACATTGAACTCAGACCGATGATTTGATTTGATTTAAACCAATGCAATGAGAATGTCTCGCCATGTGATCACAGATTCTAGCTATTTTCTTTGTTAGATTTAAATGTATTTTGGATGTCAACTCCAGTATTCAAGTATCTGTACGCTTATATCGAATTAAACGTGTGGATTGCTTGTTCCAAACAAGCTTACTTTGAATCAAAAAGTTTATCAGTACAATATTGCTTGGGAGGGACACTTCTTAGTTCTTAACATTTATACGAAACTGGAATCGTCTATCGGTTCGGTGGTTTTATGCTTCACGAATTAACATACAGATTACAGATTAAAGATCTCTATTACAGGTGCTCTTTTTGAAAGGTGGCTCCCGTCTTCCAATTCTTGCCAATAATTAAGAGGTGAGAAGCTAGAAGTGACTTACTGAATACAAATCAATCTCATTCACAGTCAATCAAGGTATAAAACAACCAATACAGAACACTGTATTCTTTTACCATGCTGCGTGAGACATCAACCTGAATACGATCAAGTGGAGATGGCACCCGCAATGACGTTCACATTTCTCAAATTAGGTTGCCCCTAGCAACAACCACATAGTGAAATACACAGCCATTTTCCAGTCTCAGTAGAAGAAGTAAATTCTAGGGAATTATTGCGAGGTTTATGGCATCGAAACCCCATCAAGCGATTCATTAAGTTGAGGGACAAATATCGGGAGATGGATAGGTGAACAAGGTTTCAGAAAATATACTACCCCGTGGCAAAGAAACAAAGTTATATTATCGCACATAGTCAGAGGTGTTTTATGCTAATTCGATGCTAAAGACATCGTACAACTACAACAAAGCTATTCTTTTATCGTAATATGAATAAAAAATGAATATAAATCAACTGTTGTAATTGTTTGAACAAAATCAGTCATACCAAAGATACGTATCTCTTTGGTCATACACAACATCATCAATATTAGGCTTTATACACAAGGGGTGCATAATTTTGGTCATTTTGTGAGGAGTGTCGAAGTTGCCAAATTACAGCGTCGAAACAGAGTTTTTAAAAAAGAGATCTTACTCTTAATTGGTGCGAAATGCAAAATTAAAACATTTTTTTGTTAAGCTATATAGGGCATCATTAGCTTTGTCATAATTTGTCCATGGTTTATTTATAGCGTGGTAAATCTTATATGAGGGTTCTTGATACCATCCGTTCTTAAAGTTTCACAATTTTCGATGACCAGTAAAATATAGGGCGATATGTAAGGAGGATAATGTTTATTAACATTGATTACATCTCAGCTCAAGTGAATTTATTCATCACGTTCATAGTGAGAGGGGCACTTTGTCGTCGGGGCAGGGCACTTTTCACGATTTAAGCATGAACCTAAGAGAGTACCTGATTTGATATACCTGTGTGGTGCCTATTTCATCCCCATGCTGGCAACAAAAAAAGTCTGACCTTGTTTCATGCAGTGATAGATAAAAATGGTTATTATTATATCAATTATATATATTCAATATTAGAACCTTACCACTTCTGCATATCTTTCTATCTCTGGAAACCTCGATTTTATTTCCGCCATATTTCCTCTGTTCATGACTACTTTCATTGAGGGAGCAGAAATTCTCATATACAATCCCGTTATTTCCGCAGACGCGTTTACTTTCCCGACACAAGCAGAATCCCACCTCTCCTTTTCCGATATTGATCGCTTTACCAGGGTGTGGTCCTGAGCAAAAGTAATCCCGGCCACATCTACCAAGATTCCAGAATTTCCCGCCACAATTTTGATCAAGTTTTCTCCCACAAATCTGACAGCAGCCACACTCGTCCAGGAGTACTCCGGCTGGGCAGCTTTCTTCGGAGACCTTCTCACAAGCTGTACGCTCACAAACAGGGCATTCCGGACCCCTTTGAGCGCTTACCACCACCGCCAATAATCCAACCAAAAGAACACAACACCAAACCTTTATTTCCATTTTACTCTCTTGCAATATAGACTTGAGATATCTCTACCACAATTAGCGGTAGTTTCCGATAGTTTCCCGCCACCTAAGTTATTCCGTGTCGTCTGCAACTTTGCGACTTTGTTGTAAGTAACTCGCGCACGTTCGTCGCTTGGTAAACAAGCTATGTTCTTTCCATGCTCAGTGCCTTGCTGATTGAGAGGACATTGACGGATCAGAGAGAGAGAGAGAGGCGTAACGAAGTCTAACTCAATGGGAGTGCTGAGTTAACTAACGTCATAAATACAGAGAAGGTCAGGCAATCCACCCACCCGGTGGGATAGATATGTGCCTCATCTAAGTTCCTCTTACAAAGTGAATAAGTAAACGTGTTAACAGACACAGAACTTAACGTAGTTTGAATAAAATCGAAACTCATGAAAAGGCATTTGACATCCGATTTTACAGAATAAAGGTTAAAGGTAAAGACCAGTTATGGTCATGCGATTGCATTGTGAAAGAAACGTTGTGGAATCGTTCAGAAAAGGTTGATCATCTAGCATCTAGCATCTGCAAGGTTCTGGAATCATCAAAATGATAAGAAATTTGGCCCTTTCTTTGTAAAATTACAAGCACTATACACAGAAATATGTATATGGGACTACCCTATATCTCTCACAGACCATGAGAGAAACAAATTTACCAAAGATATGAATTAGTAGGCGGTTTCCCGGCAAATTTTTTATCATCATGCATTAGTTAAAACTTATTCTTTCACATGATTGGTAATGAGAGCTTCCATTTCATTTTTTGAAATTGGGGCGTTTCCAATACTGGTCTTTACCTTTAAACAAGAACAGAAACCGGGGAGGGATAAAAAAGAAAAGAAAAAAAGGAGTGTCTCCCGCTCGGACACCTAGTTTCTCGCATATCTTGATCTAGAAAAACCAGTGTCTGCCTCAACCCCCCCCCCCCTCCGAACATGACTGGCGCTACGCCAATGGGCTGACCAGGGTGAGTCTTCCCTTCCCACCTCCCTAATTGAAATGAGATTTTTTTTTTCCGTTATCCTTATCACCTCACTTCTCCCTTGAGAAGGCTGAAACTCAGTAGCATCCCCACCTCGTAGGCTACAGTCTAAACATTAAGGGGGCTCTGGTGTCATGAGGGCACCGGTCTTAGGAAGGGGGGGGGGGGTGGTATGCGAAAAAAAATCCAGGGGTCGTACATTCTTCTTTTGACTGTCTCCCCCACCCCCTCTCTCTTTCTCTCTCTCTCTCTCCCTCTCCCCCTCTCTCTCTCTCTCTATCTATCTCTCCTTATGTCTGTCTGTCTGTTTGTCTCTCCTTCTCTCTGCCTGTCTTCTCTCAGTTTTTATTCCTTTTCTTTTCCTCTTTTCTTTGTTTCACCATTTTGATTGGGGGGCACGCACGTGCCCCTCTTGCCTTCATGTTTCTACGCCATACTGATATAAACCCTTTGTCCACAGACATGACAGAGCGGCAATCTCAGTATAGCCCAAGAATTCTAAATAGTAAATTTGGTCCGATCCGCGGGAAATTAATATTGAATATACATTGGAGAGGCTGTCGAAATCCACATAGGTGCAAAATCTGTTGATTAGGACGATTTGAAGGGGCAGTTATCCCGTTGCATTATAATAACACTTAGAATTAGGAGGCACTACTTTTATTCGTTTCAACGTAAACTCTATTGATGAGCAGCGAGCCACAGCTGAATACACCTCACTGCATAATAAAGAAGGAAAGAAAACACGGAACCAAAGGAAAACATAATAATGTTCAGCCTCGCAAACAAGGACAACAGCTATACATAAACAGGACAAATTAAAGGTCCATCAACATGTCCAAGCTGTTATATGAGGGCAACTGAAGTGAATATACATGTATAATAGGCCCCAAAGGAAGGAGACACTGATGCGTGAGAGAGAGAGAGAGAGAGAGAGAGAGAGACAGAGAGAGACAGATAGAGACAAAAATGTTTGGGATATTTCCTATTGATTTTAATACATAAGTAACCTTACAGCGTCCAAGTTTTCTCTATCTATCTATCAGGTTTTATCCATCATTTTTATATGCGAACCAAATTTGCTACTTTCTTCAACTTTAAGTGTAGCTTAACCCATTTTGTCATCATTTTACGAGGCCGATTTGCGGCCGAATAGATTTTTTGGGGAGAAAAATGTTCATGATTTCTGAGATTCAAACAAAGTTTCTCTACCTTGCCAGGTATTACAATTTTTCTCATTTAGAAATTTTCTCACGAAGTGGGGGGGGGGGGGGGGGCAAGGGGCAAGCTGCTTCCCTCCCTGTGTCCCTTATCAACTTACGTTCATGTAAATAGAATATGGAGGGGAAATTAATAAAGATAGAAAAAGATGAAAAGCGCAATATAATGTGATAATGCCAAACCGTTCTCGGCTCACAACCGTAACTCTCAAGTCACATCTCCCTGATCTAAATGTAACTAAATCAAGCTTTAAATACCATCGATGATGTAGCAATATTGCATTGCATTGCACAAGCCATGATACTCTAAAGAGATATAATTTTACAAACTTGATAAAATAATATCGAAATTTAACGAAATAACATGCAGTAGTCAAAGAATAACAAGTCAAGGTCAAATTCAGAGAGGATGTCATGTTCTATCAGGAAAGTCAGGATTCATAATTTTCTCTTAACCGTATATTTTGTTCGCCGGAGTTATGTTTTGGATAATAATATTTTGGATATTTATAGCGCCTAATTAATCTGCAATGTACGTGTCTCTCACTTGGTTGCCCCTGGTCCCCCTATTTTCTGGACCGACGCGTTACACCATTTTGCACAGCCATGCATTTCACTCATGTAATTCAGACAAGTTCAGGGGCCTAACTGAGGCCAAGTCAAACTGATCCCTAGTGCCTCCTCCAGATTTTCCTCCAAATGAGGAGGGGAGGGGGGGGGGCGATTTCATTTGATTCTTTTGTACATTCAAATGCCTCTGAGTTGGCATTACACTACGCGGTTACAAATTGTTGCGAACAGTTGAGCTGGCCACCCAACACAATTATTTCCAGATTCCGCACATATGGCACGCTGAATTATGTAGTTCGTCAAGTATGTTTGCATTCCAGTATTCAGTTTGATATCTTATATCGTATTAAACACTTATTTAATTATGCCCATATTGCATAAAAGTGTTTTAGAAATACAGTTTTATAATTAGTATGCGCATTTGGCTTTCCATAAACTATCCTATTGTCATCATTGTTGTTGTGAAGTGTAAATTTGTTATGTGAGTTGTGTGCATGTGGACGCCTCTTTTCTACCCGATAATTTAATAATAAGAATAGCTGCTAAAAGGACCGGTATGTTTCATATTACGTTATTGTTTATAGAGTATATACTTACTTATATTCTGATTCATGTTTCTTTGTTGTATATGTGTATATTAAGGTTAATATTGATAAATTACAGATCTAAAATCGCGTTCTTTAGTTTAGGCGAGACAGCGAGATTGCACTGTAGTCTAGGCCTGTACACTCTTGAGCACGTCTGATTGAATTGAGCGAGTGTTGAGTGCTTGAGTGATGGGTCCTTTGTTTTGTTGAGTTCTGCGTAGGTTTATGCATGAAGGAACAATGAACCTAGAAGAACAGCTGCAACAAAGACGCTGGGTCAGTTTTATGAATGAATTTCGGAATTGATTGTGTGAAAACTGAAATGAGAATGGTATGCAAAATTATGACCACGTTTAATGCACACATAACATCGCAGTGTGCTGGTGCAGAGTCATGATTGATAGTGGTGCAATTCAATTAACTCGCTGATAACACTGAAATCGTTTTGAATATTTAACGGTCATCGAAACATTATCACCGAAAATCCCCCCTCTCATATCTCCTGTGTTTGTCAGCAGATTTTTTGCTCAAACTTTGAGGAATGATGTAAAATGGTCATATCAAATGATATGATTATGAAACATTGTATTAAACGATGATCTAGATCTAGACTAGACCGAAAGCTTCAGTCTCTATAATCGTCGGTTGTTCCACTGAGACTACGTCTGGCTCCACTAGACCTCCGGTTATAGAGACTGAACGATCGCCTATACCATCGTATGTTGAAGATATCACGGCTAGATTTTAGCCGCTAGGCCCCTCCCACAAACATGACAAACTTGCCACGGCCGTATTGTTATGCCCCCAAAATGTCATTTTACCTCGTCCATATCCAATTTTAAATTAGGCCTAGGCTATAATACATCGGTTCCACTTACTAACTTGATTGAAATAATCCGTTTAATGGTCCCTTTTAAGGAAATTATGGGTCAAAATCGACATCCATGTTGAAAATCTTGCAAGCCGTGTTAAACTCTCGCTGCCGTCAATCTTATCCCTTCTAGTCTACGCCGAAGGCAAAATGATTATGAAGGAAAAACTGTGATAACGCCATTACGAACGTGTAGATGGCGCACAGTTTTTCCTTCATAATCATTTTGCCTTCGGCGTAGACTAGAAGGGATAAGATTGACGGCAGCAAATCTGCATCTTCTTGCCACTGCAATCTCACATCCAGCACCACTGCTGATTGTACCCCCAAGATAACAAAACCTATCAATCTTCTCAACATGTCCCATTTACATTGTACAGTCAAACCTGCTTTAGTGACCACCTGTCTACAAAGACCACTTTTTGTGTTTCCCTTGGGTGGTCGCTGTAGACAGGTTTTACTGTACATCCCTTCTTATTACTCCACCAGTCACCTGATCTCTCTGTGTTTCTTGAACTTAAAACTCTCAGCCATTCTGTTGGTAATTTGCTTTACTCCAGGACATCTTGCATGAACCCACTTTTAACATGCCTTGCATATCCAGTTGATATTTGATTAACCTTCATTTAAGAGTCATAATCTTTCCTTGAATTTTCAGATCTTTCTAGCAAATATGTTGACACAGCACCTCATATCAATGGTTCCTGGAGTAGCTCATTATGAGACTGTTCTGTCACAAAACAATCAATCAAACATGCAAATACATTTTATTTTCCTGCTTTATTTTAATGTTATATTTTACAAGCCTTCTTGTATGTTCATGAACAGTGTTTTGGATATTGTCAACTGTATTGTGCAGGGAAAAAAATATTAGAACAATTTCGGGGGCTACTTTTCAAGCTTGCTAGCATTAAAATTACACTCTTTAATTTGTATTGCATTAAACTCTATGCAAAGTTTTGGGGGCTCTTTTATGACTTTCAGGGGCTCTTTTTGGCATTTTGGGGGCTAATTTGCCCTGAGCGCCCCTGTATTTTTCCCCTGGTATTGTGTTGTATACATGTACTGTATGCTCTATTGCACATTTATCTTTTTTGTCCTTTGTTTCATCATCCTTCAGATCACAGTACTTAACAGGATGTAAATTATCAAGACCTGTTACAACGTGTCAGCTTCTCTGTTGCTATGGCAGACTCTGGCACCATTCGTCATCGACCAGCGATAAGATCAACTCAGAGACCTGCTACACCTCCTATCCTCTCAACTACACCCCCATCAGCAGCAGCAAGATCAAATCTCAATCCTGCCTCATCGGGAGGACACCAAGCAGCCAAAGCAACAAACTCTGTTTATGAGAAGGGCAAACCTAATCGAGATGTTGGAAAGCTTGTGGATGCGTACAGGAATATCATGACGATGTCCTGGCCTATTGTATTGTGTTATGAATTCATCTCAGCTGTATTTAGGTAAGATGTAATGTCAGTAATCATAATGGACATTATTAATTTACCCTATGCATCATGACTTAAAAGTGTTTTTGGGCAGTCCTGTTCAGTTATGATTTATCAAATGCATTAAATTTCATGATTTGGTAAACTGGTATCTCATTTTTCAGTACATACTGTAGCTAATGTCAAATACAGAATTGAACAAAAGATTGCTGATTGTTAACCTATATCTGATATCTTGATTTCATTTGATGAGAGCTAGGAAGGCATTAACTAGTTTATGCTAGGTTTACATTATGTTCCCGGCGGCCACGGTAGCCCCGTTTTCCTGCAACGTAGTGCGCAATGGGATTTTGGCCACTTTTCTCTGTATTCAAGTTTTTTAGGTCTTCCTAAGTTTTGTTATTGTACTGTTGCGTTCATCCCATTTAACTACGGCCTATTAGGTTTCTCATCTGCATCGTGACTACCGTGGCAATTTATTTTACATTAAAAAAATCTGGCTCGGCATCCACAGCAATGATGGCCTGTCACGTTTGCCCATTCCCCCCCCCCCCCCCCCCCCCCCCCCCCCCCCCCCCGTTGTCTTAGGTCCATCCCGTTTTGTCCATGATGGCCTGAAACGTGTTGGCCGCCGAGACGTCATGTGAACCTAGCATTATATCTACACTGAGTTGATAACCTATTTCTCTCAACAAACAATTTCATCTCCAGAGATATCTTTGTTCTAAAAGCATCTATTATTCTGAAATGTTCTGCTATATATGAAAATAGATCTGCAGCTCATGAGTAACTTGTCTACCATTAATTAAGCCCAATATGAAAAGTTACCTGGTTGTGAAATTAAGAAAATGTTTGTACATCATGTGAAACAAATTACTGTGTTTGTGATTATGATTTTTCTTGAAGGTTTTAATTCAGTATCTATTTTCATAACACACGTACATGTATAACCTAGTGATAACCCTAATGTGTTTTGTTTCTATTCCCTTAGTTGGGAGTACCCAATCCTTACCGTAGGGATGTGGATAATCTTCCAGCTTTTCTCCTTTTACATGACTACAGGTAAGAGAATTCTGCCAATTTGTTCTTCTTCTTCAGGGGTTAGATTTGACAGTGCTTTGCTTTACCGTATTTGCTGGCGTAAAGGCCGCAGTATTTTTGGAAGAGAAAATATCAAAAAGTCGGGGTGCAGCCTTTGCGGCGAAAGAGGAAAAAAGAGGATTAAAAATGGCATGTCAAAACCATGAAACACAGCACGAATTTGTACATATGGGACAATAATAAAAGGTGATGGACATTTCTAGAATTACCCTCTAGAATAACACATGTCTTACCAACAATTATGTGTTATATTTTTTAAATGAAGGGCAAAGTTTGGTCAATCTCGTAAATGAAATTCATAACTTACCAACCAAACTCTACTGGTAGATCTAGATTTAAGTTTTTGCCGTCGATCGCGCGAGCTCAGCTATGGCGCAATACACAAGAGAGAGGCCCAATGTATACATCAGAGAAAACTGCAAGGGACAGTATCAGTGCGGGATGGCCGAGCGGTCAAAGGCGGTGATTTTAATCACATCAACATTTGGTCCCAAGTGTTCAAATCCCATCTTCGACAAAAGTTGTTGTTGTTGTTTTTTGTTTTTTTAAATGTCAAAATCGGGGGTGCGGCCTATGCGGCGCTGCGGCCTTATCGCTGGCAAATACGGTATTTGTTAAATTTGGAAAGGCCATACAGGAAATGAAATGTTTAACCTCACATCATAGGAAAATGAAAATGATGATTGGCATAAGTGGGAATAAACTTCACAATGAACGTGAAGGTACCTGATTCTTACATACCGTAGGTGTCTCAGAGAGCCTCACAACATATTGTTTTCTATTGCGAATAGAATATATCTATGTCATGAATTTCTCACACATATTCTATGTACTGTATGTGAGAGAAGCCTTGTTTGAAATCATTATAAATAGCTGCTACTACATGTACCTGTAAAAGTGGAGTTTGAATTGAATCTGTTGACATTACTGCTTTAACAGATATCCAGTCTTATTACTACAACATTGAAAAAGTATATATATTCCATGTACATGTATACAGATGAGATGAATCATGATTTTTTTGTTTTCTCAATATAAAACCATTACAGATATGGGAATATAAAAAATAGTAAATTCTAGTAATAAAAGAACTTTTTGTCCTTTCATTTTGATACATCAGGTCAGCTGTTGGTCATCTGTTTTCTGATGCTGTTTATTGTAGCCAGCCTTGGATACCTGTCCTTTACCAGTCAACAACTCACAGAGAAACATAATTCTTCCAAGAAACAAAATATTGTTAATATTCTATCTGCAAACTCATTATCATCATCATCATCATCATCATCATCCTTGTCATCGTCATCATCAACGTTGCCATCATCAGCTGCAAAAGTACAGGGTACATCATCTGCCACAGCCAATCAGAAGGTCAATAAAGCTGGGGATTCTCAAAAGGTCCAGACTCCTCTATCATCTTCTCCACCCAAAAATGCAACATCATCATCATTAATGGGAGATGGTTGCCTAGCAACGCATCCTCATGATAAAAACAAGCATGCAGAGCTGGAGATTGACAGTCAGCGAAGGAGAGAACTTCTGACCGAATATCGTCAGATGATGCAGGATCTTAGCATATGGCTTACAGCGGTCTCTAGGATACTCCTGTTGGTGGAGGATATGTTACTATGGAGATGTCGATGGAAAACAATCATGTGAGTATTAAGCAAGGAATAAGCTACAGTGTAGAGATAATGTTGAAATGTTGTTGTTGTTGTTGTGTTTTGAGTTATTGGCGATTAGTCAGTGATTTGACTATTGTCGCCAAAATACTTTACGGCACGTGTTATATCTCTCAATTTTGGATTTAAAAAAAAAAAAAAAATTTATTTCGTTTTATATTTATCTATCTTTTAAGATAGTATCGTAAAATAATATCGTAAGCAAAACATTCATGAATATTGAATCATGGTATCTTTCAGAACCATCCTTCCAAGAGAAAATTTTATCATCATGAATACTTTTAATGGTCTGCTAAATCAATTTACAAAAGAAACATCCTTGTCAGATTTTGACTTGTAAGATTGTTTAGGGCAAACATCTGTCACCATACAGTGTGGTGTAGTCTTCTTATTCTTTAATTTGAAAGTTATTACTAGTTTTGTATTTGTAAGAAAACTTTAAATTTATTTTTAATTGCACACTTGTAGTGTGTTATAAAGTTTTTCTATTTTTCTTTATTACACCTGTATATTATACATTGTACATATCTTTAAAAACAAAAATTTCAAACTGTCTAAATGTAAGTTGACACTTATTCTTTCTTTCTATACATTTAGTCTCTACTTCTAAAATATTTAAAAACATATTGATCATTTCTGATTTGCAGATTCTACCTCGCACTATATGCTGGAGTACTGTGCTTCATGTATGTCCCATTTTATTGGATTACCATGGCAACCACAAACTGTGTGCTCCTGACTCATCCTCAGTGCCATGTATGGTTAGAGAGGATGAAGAGATGGATTACAATCAAGATATCTACTAAGGATGTGAGCAAGGATGAGAGCTCAAAGCATCTAGATAGCTCACAGGAGAAGGTCAGTAGATGAATGAACTCATTTCTCTCCTTTTTTGTTCCATTTATGATATTCTGTTTTTTAATGGCAGAGCTGCCAACTAGTACGGATTTCCCGTAATTGGTACAGAAATTAATGACCATTATGGAATGTTGTCTCAAATTACGGATTAAATTTTTTATTTGTTTATTGCAGCAAGTGCTGTGAGGTATAGCGGCCATCTAACACTCGCTGAGAAAGGCGGAAAAGTATCAATTATTCTCTTAATAAAAGCTATTTTTCATGGAAAACTATGTTGTGATGACCTGAAAGTCAATATCTAGCAACTTTGTGTGAGTAAAATCACCAAAAATTTCAGATAATCATGCGCCCATGCGTCCGCACAGTGTTGGCGTGCCATTTTTTAAAGATTCATAGCGCCGCATAGGAAATTACTGATTTATACCCCAAATTACTGATTTTGAGCCATGTGATTACTAATTTTCTGTTCTGGAGGTTGGCAGCTCTTCTGTTAGGGATAGAGTAAGGATATATATTTGTTTATCAATAGATGCATTTGTACTGATACTCTTACTTTACAAGACTCATAGGAAGTTAAAGTCTTATAGGTCAAATCGATGAGCTCTTCTAGATGACTTTTCATACTGGTGAAATGTTAAAAAAGTCAACCTATATTACATTTTTATTGATGTTGATAAATAATAATAATAATAATAGAAACGGTGCTTATAAAGCGCTTACCACCAAAGTCTCATAGCGCTATAAAAAACAAAATACGATGGTAAATAATTTCATAATAAACAAAACAAAAAAATTACAAATCAGAAATATACATCAATGTGAGTTAATCATCAAAAGCAATTTTGAATAAATGTTTTTTCAGACAAGTTTTGAATTGGTAAACAGTCTGACAGTTTTTTTACATTTAAAGGTATTTTGTTCCAAAGTTCAGCAGAAGCTTTGCAAAAAGAGCGATGACCATAAGAAAGAGTTGACACCGAAGTAGACACAAGGTTTAATTGTGAAGATGACCGTAGATTGCGTGAGGGTTTGTATTCCTGGATCAGTGTTTGCAGATAAATTGGTGCCAATTCATTGAATCTACTTCCATTGTCCTTGAAACTTCAAAACAGCGATTTCTTTGTTATTACTAATAATTTGTAATTACATTTCATGAAAAATGAAATATTGTTTTGATATTTCATTTCCATTTGACAGGGACCTGTTGACTCTCGTTCACAGAAGGATGGCATTGTTTCTTCACATCCTTTATCTGAGGATGTAAGTTAAATGTAGTATAAAAGAAGATCCCTTTTACTATAGATTGAAACTGCTGAATACTCTTGGGTTTGGGATGTTAACTTGTGAATTCTACTAAAAAAGATTAAAGATGGTTTTGATCTTCTGCTCAAAGTTAATGTAAAGTAGAAATTATTTATCTTGTTTTTGTTCCCACCCCTTTTTCTTTTTTAAAATAAATTTTATTGTGACATTGACCTTTAGAAATCAACTGGTCAAATTTTGTAATACTTTAATTGTAAAATGAAGATAAACAGCATTAATCTAAGTTGTGAGGCATTGCTCAAGCTACAGCTTTCTGCTAAAGAATATGTAGACATGCTGGGGTCGACTATGGATGAAGTGATATAGGGTTTGAGTCCACCATCATTTGGCAGGACATATTTTTCCAATCTTGACCCAGGTGATGATTATTCATTAGGAGTTTATTTCCTTTAATGCTTGAAGAACGTACTAGGGAAGCTTGGCTAAAGCTAGTGAAACTATTCCAAAAGCATCTTAGATGTGCATAGGGGCATTGTCTCACGCAATGTGATGTGCTGTACACAAGAATGTATTGTTGCTGGTTTTTTGTTGTTATTGTTATTATTGATAACTCCTCAGATGAATGGTAATGAAGATGCAGATGAGGAGATCCCAAGAGAGAGGAGAATGAAAGGAGCTCAAATAGTGGTACCAGCGTCTAGCAGGTCAGATGGAACACCAGCTGCTCAACAACAACAACCTAAGATGTTTGAGAGCGGCATGTGTTACTTATGTGGAACCCTATTCACATCAGTGCTCAAGAGAAGGGTAAGACTCATTCAAATTGGTTCCCCCAAAATCCTTTTTTCTAGTACAGAGGCAAGTGTTCTATGTGGTTGTGTAAAATAGGGTGAGATGACTTTTTGAGCTGGTACCAGGTAAGACCCTTCCCTCGTTACTCGTTTACATCTCAGCTAAAGAGAAGGGTGAAGTTGTGGGAATTAATTGTTACCTACATAGTTTTGTGTGTTACATGAAGCGAGTGGGCTACTTTGCTTGTGTACAGTAGTTAAGATTGTATTGTGAACTGAAGCCTGAAAACCCTTTGTCTAATAAACACAGCTTGTTATTTGTGTACATTTTGTGGGACTCTATTCACACCAGAGCAGCTCGGCTTCTTTGAATGGTAACAGTGTGATTTAGACACCAATTATAATTGGGGCGTTTTTGATGGGGATGAGATCTGAGTTTTCAGTAACAACTTACATGTACATCAATGGATAAAATCTACCAAGACATTGCATTTGCTTTGGTGTTAGCAAATATATTATAACTTACAGATAATATACATGTGTATCACTTTTATAAAACTGATCACAGTACATAACTGTTAATAACCTTTGACCTCTTGTCTTCATCATATTTCAGAGATACTGTAGGTACTGTGGGAGAGACTTCTGTCCTAAATGCTGCTGTAAGAAGCTACCAAGATCTGCTCTAGGAGCAACAGGTATGTACATAAATAGTGCTTTGAAAGCCAGAAGGAGTTAAAACTCATATGCATGCAACGTCTTTCTGGCTCTTAGCAAGTGACAGTATTGTATGCCTTTTACTCTGTGCTATGTATGTACAACATATCCTCTGTAAACTAATGCTCTTTAGTCACTGTATAATGCTACATTGTATTAGATTTCTGTACTTCCAGTGTTATAGCTAACAATCTAACCCTGTTGCCAGAAGTGAGTCTTATATCTAGGCAAAAACAAAGCCTTGAGTATATGTTGGATCACCTTTCCCATTTTTATCTATACTGAGTTCTTGTAATGTAATTAGATAACAAAAGATTGTACCGTAGGTAAAATACAGTTGTGAAATGTTCATCATACAGGGATGTTTGGACCAGCAAACACTTGCTGGAAATTGTTTCCCTCTTTGTTATGGACATGGCGGGACAACAATTTCCCTTGCAATGATATTTGTTTGCTCCATACTCATCTAAATTTGTTGTTTGTTATTGAGAACAATTTAGGAAATATTTAAATTACTGGTATGTATTTCATATGAGTCATTCTAACTTGCTGTCATGACAGCCTTGCCATAAAGAATTAAATCAATAAAAAGCTCCACATTACTGCTGGTACTGAAATAATTTGTTAACAGTGTAACTTGATATTTATATTTGTTACCTTAGCTCCAGCAGCTCAGACAGAGAAAGAGCTGGTGTGCAACCTGTGTTTCATCAAACTTAATGGAGAGGACGTTGGCAGTAGCAGCAGAGTCAGATGACAGTTATCTCCTGGCCAATCACACGTCTGCATCAACACATCTAATCTCCTAGCTGGCCAATCAAACGTCTGCATCGACACATCTAATCTCCTAGTCGCAATCCTGCAAAACTACGCCTATGGTCATGGCTTGGCTTAAGTAGCTGATCCTTATGGACTATTTAAATCTACTTGCTTCAATCCTATAGACTTATGCCAATAGACACTGCTTTAGATGCTGCTTATAAGTATCGGCTTGCATGGTGATGTAGATATACAGTAGGCTTGTGGTTGCACCATGTGAGAGAGAGGGAGGATTGGGAAGTCCTGAAAAGCACTCTCGATAATCTTTCACTCTTGAGTGTGTGTGTAGTCCTGAAAAGGACTGTTGGTGTAATCTTGAAAAAAGACTGTTGGTTATCTTTCTTAGCTTATAGTTCTAAGGAGAACTATAGCGCCGTTTGGAGAGGATAGGTGGCGGGAGTGGCTCGATGTTTCGAACAGGTTGACTATCCGTCGTCACACCAATCCTCCCTCTCTCTCACATGGTGCAACCGCAAGCCTACTGTATAGACACTGCTTTGTTAAATTATCTCAAGATTACTGATTCCTATACTCTAACCTCTGCAATCCTGTGAAACTACTGCTGTTGGAGATTATTCTTTGTGTGTGATCACTACTGACCCTTTCCCAATGGTATTTTCTGGCTCGAGTATCTGACCGATACTGACCTTTCTAATCTACCAGACATAATCCTGTCTAGCTTGATTGTCTCACTATTAGTGACCTTTGAACTCTAATCTCTATATTCTGACCAAATTACTTCTCTCATTGAAGATTAATCTTAGTGTGTGACTGATACCGACCCATTCTCAATGTCATTGCCTGGGCCATGTATCTGGGCCCTGTTTCATAAAACCTCTTATCAATAACAAGTTCTGAAAGTCTATGACAAATTTGCTCTCAGCCAATCAAATGCAATGATTTCAGTAGCTTATAACAGTTATGGTAACTTGTTATTGATAGAAAGCTTTGATGAAACGGGGCCCTTATTATGATCAGACCACAGCCAGCATACCTACCCCAGTCAGTATTCAAACTCTTGTGTGTTTACTCTCTTACATGTGTGAGCAATATTTCCAAATCTCATGACCAACGAAGATGGCATGGACATTAAAATTAACGCAAACCCAACCTGGGGTATAAAATCATGCTGAACAAAATACAACTTTGACCTCATTTTAATTTCCTTTGTTAAACCTACCTTTGAACAAAAGCCTAAACCCAGCGTTGGGTTTCAATTTCACTAGAATGTCGGCCAATACTTTGTATCTTTGTTTAGTATTACTTTCTTATATTTAGTATTACCATCTTTCTTGAGTATGTTTGTATTTTTATACCTCATTACTGTTTCCTTTCATCTCTTATGCCATCTGGAAAATTTAGCACCAGTAAAACATATACATATACACTCCTTGAATTATTTAAAGCTTCGTTGAATAAGTTCAATCCATTCCAAAAGGTTTTTGATATAGCACCAGTTACAAAATGCTTTAGAAATTGCTCCATGTGGGTTAAGACCGTTCAGACAAATACTGATTCACTTCAAAAGACAAGTTGAGCCAATTTGTACATATAGAAATGTATATTTCTTATCAGCCACATCATATATTTGAATTGCTAAAGTTAAATATGAATAAATGAATAAATCTTTTAATAATTACCAATGATATTCCATTATATTCTATCAATGAGGAAGATATTGGTATTCTTGGAATTGATGTCTTGGATTGATATTTTGGGGTTAACCGAAGAAAAACTAAAAAAATCATGCCCACTATTTAGACAAAAAGCAGACAGTATTAAATCATGTTACGGATAGAATATCTAGAATCAATGATCATGTTTGGAGTGAGTTCATTGAAGAGATATATTTGAATGGTAGAGTCGAGTATTATATGGTCGCTTCTTCAGAAAATTAATTTGTACCGGTAATGACATTTTCATGCAAGTGAACGGCAGATTGTGGTCGGGGGGGAACAAAAATCTCTGCTCACAATAAGACATCAAGGACCTATGAGCTTACTCACCAATCTTTAATATATTATACAGAAATTTGAAGCTCACAAAGTTTATGTCATCTTAATTTGCTGAGAATTTTAATTAGCATTTTACCTCTTTGTGTGTAACGAGGCTGAGGGATGTTATGTATGAAAGGCTCGTCATTATGAATTTTCAGAATATATACATGTTTATCTCTCTATAAGATATGATGTACTCAAAGAGATAGTGTATCAGTAGGAAGCATCTATAACACAGGTTGACTAGATAAGATATATAGACAATATGGAGATATATTGTATTGATTTCATTTCATTGGCTCTGCTCAAAGGATTGGAGGCACAATGGACTGAAATTAATTTAGATTTGATAAATAGGAGTTTTGTGTTCATGCAAGTACTAAAAGTGTGCTGCTTTAAACTTGTCAAAACTAAATGCAGGTACTTGTATTTAAAAGTGATTTTTTTTCTCTTTTTTTCCAACAATAAAAACATGTGCAATGAATTGTAAATAATACCTGAAATACACAGAGGATTTTATTGTCAACATATGATTGTGAATATTTGCTTATCTGTACAAATATACATCATGAATTGAGTGAAACTGCATAAGATGTTATAACTTTTATGATACTCATGTTTACATAATTATGTATTACATACATTAGTGTGCTGTGGTATGTTATAGCTTGCTTTATTTTGTATTTGTAATGTATACTCCAAAGTTCAGAACATTTTTATAATCCAATTGAGTAATATATATTATGATAATGAGCACAGGTGATGCTTGAATTAGATTCGAGAGTAATGGAACAATTTTTGGAGCCATTTGCACATCACACACATTAATTCCATGAAAATTCCATGGAAATAACATAGCAGAAATGTAACATGTTTCTCCTTTAAAATGTTCTCACATTGCAAATATAAATAGACGCAATCAGTTACGTAAATTTGTCCACAAATGTGTGTATTTATTAACACATATTCATATCTGTATCCTGCTACTCATCATGATTAAAAAAATGTTTCTTTCATAATCCACTAACACCAGTAATACTTAACACAACCTTTTCATTCAATGAATAAAAAATGGATAACAGATTTGGTAAAATAGGACAAATGTTTGTAATCGGTTGCTACAAAATATGGTAGAGAGTTAATGTAAAGTGGAAGGTGTTAGATGAGAAGGAAACCTTGTATGAATTGAGGAAGGTTACAATCTTGTACTGTTTCATAGTAAAATAGAATTTATATTAAATAAGGTATATGATGTTACATTTGTGGTAACATAACTGGCGCATCTACTTTGGAGCTGCTAAGTGACAAAGCAAAACCTTTCTGATCATAAGTAAGACGATTTATTTCTACATTTTGAAGTATTGCTGATCTTGTCCATATTCTTTGTTCATTGTCAAACGAGTAGTCTTTCAAGAGATTGACATTATAGTAATTATTGTGTAATACTGTCTTATCACTCAAGTGCCAAATGTTTTGTTTGTTTGTTTTGTGCTTTCAAACATAGATGTATAAATTGCTTTGTGCAGATGTAATGCAACATATATTTTAAACTATACATAAGATAACAGTAATATCTCATAAAGTAGCTGGAGATGGAAATATCATGTATATGTATCTAAATAAATGATTTGATGTGGTACTGATAATTTTAAACAAATAAGTAAAGGAACATTTGATGATATATACTTGTTCAAACATTAGTTTCTAACTTCAAACCAAGGTTCTAAAAGTGTTGTTGTCACTTCCCCCATCAACTAGTTAACTACAAGATAACTTGCTTAGTCAGAGAGAGAGAGTTTTCTTTCAATCAACCAGATTTGTAAAATAGTCAATTAAATGCCTGGTTTGTGGATGTAGAATGACTGCATTGATCAATCATATAAAAAGTAAACAATTTGTTTTGCTTCTCCCTGTTGGGCAAGTGATATATATTATAAATCTAGTAGAATACCTTGTAATGTTAGTTGCCGATAGACATTCAGCATGGGGGTTACTAGCAAAGTTTTGTTTTTTACCTCTTACTTATTTTTTTAATATTTTCTTAAGATGTTGCTACCTCCTATATATATGGCACAAAAGAGTAAAGAAATTACATTTCTGCATAGTATAGAACAGACTGAGGTAAAGTGTTTGGAATTTTAAAAAAAATTGACTTTTACCCAAACCATACTTTCATCTTTATAATTTGTTTTGTTTTAATGACAATGATACATTTGACTTAAACACCTATGAAATAGAACAAGTAGTAACATTGGTTCAGATATTAAGATTTCTTGATATATTTATGTGAAATTGTTTAATACATGCAGTCACATTTCACCTCTCATTTACACATCTGTTTCAATACTTAGTGTCCTCCCCAATCATGTGATACAAAATTCATGATTTACCAAAGTGCAAATCAAGTTTCATTCTTAAATAGTGTCTTGGTATACTTTTTTTATCATTGGATATCTACTTACATTTTACATCTGTAATCTGGTTTGTCCTCTTGTTAGTGTTTCACATGTCAGTATGTGTATTTGTAAAGAATCAGTTGTTTTTAAAGAACCGCTAAATATACAGGAAAGGTTAATGAACAGTGGTTCGTTATTCTATATATCTATTTTATTTTGTCCATATCAAATTAATATAGTTTATTCCCTATATACTATATGTGCATTCAAAATTCAAAATATAGGAAATGTGTTGTCATATATTATTCATGTCTGATGATGTAAGATGCATAAAAACTCGCGATGGATTTGTAATAAATTTGATTTAAGAGAATCACTTGTATTGTTTGTATTTACTGATGAGTATACAGTACTAGACATTTGTGTTAGTTTTAACAGATAGGATGTTCGTTTTCAGACCTATATTTCTGGTTCGATGTATGTCGAGAAATTGGCAAGATGAATATATCGGATGAGAGAGAGAAAGAGAGAGAGAGAGAGAGAGACGGAAGGAAGTGAGTAGATAGACATTAAAGGGGAAAACACAGTTGTCAATAATGAAAAACATTTTGAACACCTGGGCCCCGTCTTATAAAGAGTTGATATTAATTGCAACTTATTTGCGATTGATATCGATCGCAAGTTTGTACATGAGAGATAGGGGACTGCAAGCTTGCGATTGATATCAATCGCTAGTTTGTACATGAGAGATAGGGGACTGCAAGCTTGCGATTGATTTGTATCAATCGTAAGTTTGTACATGAGAGATAGGGGACTGCAAGCTTGCGATTGATTTGGATCAATCGTAAGTTTGTACATGAGAGATAGGGGACTGCAAGCTTGCGATTGATTTGGATCAATCGGAAGTTTGTACATGAGAGATAGAGGACTGCAAGCTTGCGGTTG